ATGTCATTTTCTATTTGCTGTTCTCTATAATCAGTTAACTATTACTGGCTTTTTTGGCTGAATCCAACCATTTTATTTTATAATAATGCTCACTTCAGAGAGAGTCCTGGATTAATAATTAGCCAGATGCAGCTCTACCTTTTAAGAGTTTGGATCCTAAGCCAACTTAAGTATAGCTTTCAAGTCGAAGCGGCAAGTCTTTTTACTTTGAAAACAGAATTCAGTTAACATGGTCCTTTTTTTTTTGGCAGCTTCAGGCTGCTTTTGTAACAATAGACTTCCATATGAAACTAAGGAGTTGTAACTCATAATTTGCAAAGCTTGATTTTCTAGGGCTTGCCTTCATCAATGGGGTAAAAAACATGGTATTTTCCACCCCCTTAAACTAAAGCCAGCCCCAAACACTTGTGACACTTCAGCTGCACTCAGAGCTGGTGTGGATTCCCCTTAAGGCAGGTTTCTCAGGCACCACCCAACCTTTTGTCTTGCACAGTCCCAAGCCCTCGAGGGATCTTTGTAATCTGTTCAAATACGGAAGTTCCAGTTTTTCCTGGAGATTATTTCACACAAAAGCAGCTCCAGTTACCTGGTTAAACAGGTTGGTTACTCCTCATTCCTGCCCATATTCTGAAAGAGGAGTTCTCTTGGCCTCTGACACTGAGATGATTAACCCTGTGTTAGCTTTGCCCCAATAATGTAGCCAATACGGTGGACATTTGCTGACTCCGTCCCTTCTTATGGTTGCCTCTTAAATCTTTCCTCCAACATCTCCAGTGCTCTCCTGCCTCCTTTACTACTTCCTTTAACTCCGTATAGCTTTTTCCCGTTGTGAGGGGGAAATTCTGTCTCCTGCTCTCCTCTTCATCCACTAGACTATCATCACTCCATCCCTTCACTGTCAGACAACCATCTAGTAATATGTGGTTGTCCCTGACCCCTTCTTTGTTTCCTCTCCACACTCTTGTGCTTCCTAAAATATGGTCCTGTCCCCACAATTCCATTGAACTTTCTTTCTCAAACGTTTCTGGGGACCTGCTTCTTGCCAATGCCAATTTCACTTTTCCAGTCCTTGTTGTAAGTCTCCAGTCATGTCTCCCTCCAGAGTGGCTCCTTTTCCAGAGTCCCCATTTTGGTCTGTAGAATCTCCAGTTTTCATTTCGTTAACTCATGTCTCCAGTTTTCCCTGAAGTATCTAATATCTTTCTGTCTCTATTCAGTCCCTCCTCCTCCTGGCTCTTGTTCCTTCGTGTGCAGATCTGCCCACTGGCCTCCTGGCCACCCTGCTCCTGGTCTCTCCTGACTAATCTGCCCTATACACACCGTGATACCATTGTCCCCAGAGCACGATTTTACCTTGTCATTCCTTTGGCATAAACCTTCAATGCCCTTTGCCACCTAATAGATAAGCCCAAATTCCTCGGGCTGGTTTTCCACATCTTTCACGGTATTTCCCCACGCTGGCCAACCCTATCCCTACTCTACTCCTGCCAACTTGTCTCTTTGTTGCTCTCCAGATACATTGTCTCACCTGCATGCCTTCGTGTGTGCTATTTGCATTTTCTGGAAATCCCCCCCCTCCCGAAATCCTTCTACATATTCTCCAAAGCATAGCTTTCTTCCATGAGGCATTCTGCAACCCTTCTGGCTCAATCACAACAAGCCCTTGCTCTGCTAAACGTGTACACACAAACACAACTCATTTTGACATGACCTCGGACACTCATCGCCAGACATGGCTACCTGTTTTATAATTCTCTGCTGAGCAAAGCTCTGATTCCCCGTTGGCAGGGACTGTGGTATAAACCACCTTGGTATCCTTCAAGCAGCCCAGCACGTTACTGTGTAGATTGCAGGTCTCTAATAAGTGCTTTAAAATGAAATGGGGTAGTGAGTTCCTATAAAGTGGGAGAATGACCAGTTGTGTTCTCTGCTTCTAGTCAAGTACCATCACGTGGGCAAACTGCTGAAGGAGGGGGAGGAGCCCACCGTGTACTCGGATGAGGAAGAACCAAAAGATGAGAGTGCTCGGAAAAATGATTAAAGCCTTCGGTGGAAGCATATCTATTTTTGTATTTTGCAGAATCATTTGTAACATTCCAGTGTGTCTTTAAAACATGGTGATTTCAATATTTAGCAAAGTTTTGAACTCGCTGTAAATTTTTTTAAGTAACATCACTAGTGACACTGATACAACTAACTTCTGTCTTAGAGTGCATGATGTGTTTGTGTGTCACAAATCCAGAAAGTGAACTGCAGTGCTGTAACACAAATGTTATTTACTGTTTTTCTTCTATTCATAGTTAGGACAGGCTGACTTTAAATTTGTTTTTCCTGAGAGACAGATAAGACGTGGGTACTTCCCCCAAACAGGTAAAAATATTAAATGTGCAAAGCCCTTCAAGCATCAAGGAACAAAGGATCAACTGTTAGTCATGGTGTTCTCTAAAGACAGCAAATCTCTTATTTCCCAATTGACTTAACTGCGTGATTTCTGTTTTATCTACCTCTCCAGCAAATCTGCAGTGTTCCAAAGGCTTTGGCATTGATTAGCGAGAGCTGTCCAGTAACAAAATGAAATCTCAAAGCTGGGCTCCAGTGGGAGAAATCTGTTTTCAGGGTTTCTAGCCTACACTCTTGTCTTTGTCTCCCTGGGACACTCAGACGCCCTCACGAACACAGTAATCTACAGTGAGGATTTAAACAGGATCTGAACATTCCAAAGCAAACTTTGGAAAAAAATCAGCTGGCTTGCCTAAAAACCTAAATATATGAAGAAAATTATAAGAGTATTTTCCCAACCCTCATGTTCATGGTGGGGCAATCGTTATTTGATACGATTGGACTGACTTGAGAGAAGGGCTTGCAGAATAGGAACAGGTGATTGCTCTCCTAAGAGCCTTCACGCACAGCCCTGAAGAATGAGGAAGCAGTTCTCATCGCTAGCCAAGTGGTCTTTAAAGTATATTCATAAAGTAACAGTTATTCTTCTGTTGTTACGAAACTATAGCCACTGCAAAAATAGTAGTCAAGTGTCTTGGTCTTTGATATTGGTCTTTTGGTTAACAATAAACTTAGCTTAAGTAGACTGTACAGTTGTATGAATTTGTAAAAGTATTATATGAACAACTAGTGAGGTTTCAAACTCTTGTAATTGTAGTTGAATAGTCATTGTATTTTCTTGTGAACCGTGTTTAATGGTTTTACCTCAAATCAGAAAACAAAATGAAGTGCTTTGGTCAGTTAATAAAATGGTTTTACCCAGTATAGTGTGGTGGGTTGCTCTATTTTTTTTTCAGCCTTAATCTAAGGAACCAGATTCAATCATTTTACTGGGCTTAATACTCAGTTTCAGTTTTCACTGACTTTTTTGTATTCCAAAGGAGACAAAGTAAAGGGGCAGAACTTCATAGAAGCCTCACACCACAAACCAAGTATCAGCGTGCCCTGTTAAAAAAATAGTGAATTGGATTTATTTTTTGTGACTTGTCAGATTCTGCCTCTTTAAGTCAGAACTTTCTAAACTCAAAGGCAGACCTCTGCCTTGAGGTCTATAGCAAGGTTATTAAGGAGTAACTTTACTGAAAAGTGTTACCAGGTGCCAAGACAGGTTTGAGTTTTGCTGTAATGTACCATCTGATCAGGAATGTGTTGAATTCTTAGAGTAGCAAAGTTGATCCACTTCATGTCAAAAGAAGGATATAAGATTTGTGCACACAGTTGGCTGTGTAAACAAAGACAACCTATTAACTCTGAATATTAGTGTTCTGTCACTTTACTGTTAAAATTTGACAGTTCTCTTACAAGGGAGGTACTCCCTTAACCAGAGGGGGCTCACAGCTTTCCAGTTTTTTTGTTCTCAAACCATACTGCCTGTTTTTGTTGTTTGAAAATGTGTCCTTTCCCCCCACTAGTTTTCATTCAACAGATACATGAGCTATGTTGTGCCAAGCAGCCTGTTAGGCCATATGCTTTGGGGGAAGGTGGTGGAGAGAGACACTGGGCCTCCTCCTCAGCCTGCAGTCTCATTTAGAGTGAAGATTAGGTTTGTCTTATGCTGAGAGGAAAACATCCAGAGCCTGGTTAAAGCTTCAATCCCAAACAGCCAGATTCACCTCCATTCAGAACTAAATCAACATTGTACTGTTTACAAGTAATGGGATATTACTATAAGGCAGGGCTCGGACCAAAAAACTTCTCCAATCCAATGTGCATATTTCAAGAAGATGAGGGGAGCGGTGGTTATAACCACCAGGCCAGTGGGGCAGGTGTCGTTTCCTCCCCACCTGCTTTCCTCCAGCCCCGGCCCAGATACTTGGTTCTCAGTCTCAGCATCTATGGATCAGAAGCAGCATCTGCCACAGGTCGGCCGTATCTCTGGCTTTTGTGCGTAACATTGTGTTCACCTTATCTCCGAGGGCCAAACTTAATGTGAATCCTTGATCCAGAACAAGCAAGAACAGCCCTTGCTGTTTCAGAAAGAGCTCTTTGAACCCAACATGAACTCTTTCAGCTCTAAAGTGCCTAGATTGTCCTCTAAGGTACAGTCTGCCTTTGTTACAGAATTCTTAGAGGCAGTTTGCTATACATGTCATGTGAAAACACAGTTAACTCTTGAATAACTGGTAATTGCACCCCTCGCTCCTCTGGCTGGACTCCCATCCCACACCCACAGGGTACTGTGTAACTGACACCCACCAAGCCCTGAAAGAATGAGATGAAATTCCGTGGAGTCCGTCTTGCCACCTTTACAGAACTAATAAAAACCTTTGCAGAAGGGAGGATAGTCTTAAGTCTAAATATCAGGATTTCAATTTATCCAAAATGAAAATACAACCGTGGTTTCATGAGCTCTGACTGAGTCAATTCCCATTAGCTCCCATCATAAAGGGGAAAGTTGCATCGAAACAATATTGAAACCAGACACGTAGATTTTCATAGAAAATGTTACAGTAGATGTGTAACCTTCTAGCCAATACATGTGGTAAATGAACAGACTCTACTTGCTATGACAATTTTATTTTTAATATATCTGAAAATTAAATATGTATTTTCTCTAACAATGCAAATGAGGAAAAGGATTAGCAACATTAGTGCAAAGCGGCCTCCTATGGATAGAAATCCCCCCCACCAAAGTGGAATTATCAGCATTTATTTAAAAGTTAACATTTTGAATGGTCTTCCAACAAATAAAAATACATTTATTTGTATTTTTATTTTCCAAATTACCAGGTTACATGGCTTTCTACCTGAGAAATTCAAACAAATTGAACAAAAACACATTGACAGATTTTTTTTAGCTTTCTTAAAGCACTATCAGCAGCACATAACAAGGAAAAACATGGAAACGCCTATTGTAAAAGACACAGTTTAAAGTTCTCCCTTACTTGATTGGACATAGAAAAAAGATATGAGAAGAGACTTTTGCACCACTTAAATAACAGCACAACAAAGAATAACAATGTTAATCAACAGAAAGTGATTACAATATTTTCGGCTCTATTTCATTCCTTACTAAGCCATTCATTTGAAAAGTTCAGAATAAATTGTTCTCTTCCTCATTTAAGGCCTACACACACACACACAAAAAAGAGGTTTACTCAAATCCAGAATGCATTACCCAAGACAAAAATCCAAGGTTGTACAGAAAGTAAACATAAAACCAGTATTTTTACTTTCTTCTAGGTCCCAGGATGGTATTTAGCAAACAAAATGAGACAAAAATATTATATAGAAGTGACTTAGCACCAGTTCTATTATACAAAACAATTTTTTAAATTGCACATGCTGTATTCTGCAATTTATTTTTTATGTCTGGTTACTGAGCAGCAAATTGTTTTCATGCTTAAAATCTCTGCAAAGAAAAATTCTCAAATGACAGAAGAGATTGAGTTTTTTTGTGTGTTTTTCAAAACAAGCATAGCTGCTTTCCATTACAAACCCATAATGTTCTTTGTTTCAAGGGCACGAAACATGAAAAAATGAGGCGGGGTCTCACTGGAGGAGAATAACACCTGGTTAGCAAAAGTTGTCTGACAAAATACAAGCTGTTAGTAATTTAGAAGGCTACTCCGGACAACAGTACGCTGAACATTAATAGTTACCGCTACTCCTCAGAGAAGAAAAGGCACTCACCCCAGGAGCGATTTTTCAGATTTGACAAGCCAGACCTGGTTTTGATGGCAGAGTCACTGACTTGAAAGTGGAACTGAATATAAGAGAGCCAACAAATCATTCATTGGTCATTATCATATCAATAATAAACATAATCTGCTATGTTACATTCATTGCTGAACTTTTGCCTGTACTAGCATACCTCTATTAAACGTGATTTAGAAGAGATCAATGAAACAACTTATGGCTCTTACTTTTAAATCAATCAGATTTTATAGACTCTTCAGACATCAGGTTGCTTAAGAGGCTGGTTATGAGCACACATCGTGCCTCATCATTCTGGTCAACCACACTGACTGGCACCTACCTTGGCTTTACCAGGGGTACTTTTCTACAGACTATCAAGTTAAGACTGTTTGAAATGAATCATGTCACATGAAAATGTTGCCCCCCACTAATTTAGTGGATTAAAATCACCTTTTCCTGCTGCAGGCAGTCTAATCTGATTGATGTCTTCAATTGCCAAGTCAGCTATAGCTTTGTTGGAAAAAAAAAAAGTTCATCTACTGCCCCTGAGGTCCTAAATCCAATATAAGGCAGAATGAATCAGCCGAGCTTTCAACAGAACATGCACTGCGTTAAGATGTAAGTCTTTACGAATCTAGAAAATATCTCAATTTAAAAACATATTCAAGAAGTCCAAAACCAGTAGGTAAAAAGATAAATCACTTACGTTAAGAGTTTACAAATCCTGCACACATACAATTTTTCCCCAGCTAGAAAACTAAGGGCTTTGCCCTTGACTCTTCCTAACTCCACGGCATTACTGAGGATTGAGGAGGCACTTGTTACTGTTTTATAAAAGTCAGTTTGGGGATATTCAGTGGCTTTTTACAAACGGATGTCACCCAACCCTGAGTGAAAGGATTACCTAGCCTGGAATGGAATACTGTCATGTCCTCTCTTCTCAAGTGCCATTATTGGTGCCCCAGGATCTTTTAATATTTCCTTTTGCAAATCCCACACTGTATTACTTCAATCTTGTTGCTTTTCTAGGATGGAACGACATGGAATTCTTACAAAAAAACAACTCTGCTAATGATGGTCCACTATCTGTTTAAACCTCCAAGGACAATCTGAGCCCCCTTTTAGATTCTTCTTCTAAGGCCTTGTTTCTAAAAGGACAACTCTTTGAGAACTATGAACATATCAATAGGATTAATTTCCTTCTGATGGGTGCTCATGAAACCCTCTGTGTCATGAAGATGTCTATTACATGTTCTAGCTGTCGTCTCCTTTTTTCTATAGGTATTTCTAGATAAAAGTCGGGAAAGTTTGTTGCTGCACATGGTGTTCTGACCAAATCAAAGAACTTGTAAAAAGATCCTTATTCATTCACTGCCGTTCCCTTTGAAGATAAATGATCCTAAGTGATAACATTATGACAGCCAAAGAGCCACAGAGGGCTCTCAACTCCTCTCTGTGTTAATTTGCTCCTTTGCTGGCACCAAATTAAAGTTGCAATTGAATTGTAGAAATGGCTGTCCTTGGATGAAGAAGTTTTGCAAGCACATTGTTTTTACCCAGCTTCAGAATCTGGCTGTTTTGGGTTTCCAAAGCTTGCCAACACACCTGCAGTCACTTTGATCATCTATGCTTTATGCTTTGGCAAGAGAAACAAGATTTTGCCTTTGACCTTCTTCAAGCTCTTAAGTGTCGTTCTCCTGCTCTGTAGTTGCTAACTACATAGCTGTATTTGGTTTTAAATTTTCTTCTTGCAATTTTTTTCTTGTGAAAAAGGGTGTCCTGATCTAACAGACCTTCAAAACATTTGAAAATATAAAGAACGAGCATAGTTGCTTCCTAATGAGCTGCTGTAGTCAATGTGCACCCGAGTGTTATGTCTAGTGTAATAATGATCAGAATTCAGCATAAAATCTTCAGAATTCTCATGTCTTTTAAACCTTCTTGCATCCTGGTTATATTCTGACTTCCGCAGTGTCTCTCTTCTTTTGGGAAAATTCCCCACATAGGAAGCATTAGCACTTTTGGATGATGCTACTGGCACATGAAAGGGCCTATAGTTCACTGGCTGGTCAAATGTCCTCTCACTGAACCTCCTCCTCTTTCTTGTGGCATCGTCTAATAGATCACTGGAACTGGATTCTCGATAGTAGCCTTTATCCGACAACCATTTCGGGGCTAGTATTTCCCTCTTTTTACTGTTGCTCTTCTCGTCTCTAATGGGATTGTTTTCACCCTCAAGCCATGAGGGTGAAAAGCTCAGTTCATATTCAGACCTCTTGCCTGGTTTCCTAAGCTTGTATTTACAGTGTTTTTCCTCCCCGTCATGGGTCCACTTTGAATACAACATCTGCTGACTTGACGGAATTTCTTGATTGCAAATGATGATTTCATTAGCATCAAGAGATCCCTTTTCTGGGGAGCTGTCATTTGTGGCTACAGATTTCCCTTCCTCCTCTTTGTTTACGCTGAGAATTTCACTGAAACATTCAGAATCACTGCTAATTTCCTCTAAGAAATCTGTCAACTCCAAATCTAAGTCTGCTGACCTGTTGGGTGAGAAAACTTGGCTTTGACGTGTGGATGTGGAATCTTTGACCTGGTCAGCCTGAGTCTTTTCCAACAGATGGATCTTTTCATCAGTTGTGGGCAGCTGATCACCAGCTTCACTGGCTGCGTCCTCGCAATGATTTTTAAACTCCTTAGTCCATTCTTTGGCATAATCCACTATTCCTCTCTTTTCTGGTTTATGCTCAGGATCCTGAGTACAAACCTTTGTCCAGGAATCATCTTCTTGAACCTGTTCTCTCCTATCTAGGTTTTGCATTTGGCTCAAACTGGTTGAGTGATGCTTACGTTTTCTCAAATTGATTTGAAATCCACTTCCTTTAGTGTGGACCGCCCTCTGCCACTGACATGTGCTTGTTATGTGACTTGGTTCTAGGCAGATACGGGCATATTTTGGAGTTTGATAATAGTTTAAAAGATAGTCAATAAATTCATCCGTTTCATAGATCTTCTGTTTCCTGCCATGATCTCTCTCAGATAATCTGGAAGAATAGGACTTACTAGAACCGTGGTGGTCTTCTTTCTCAAGAGACTGACCTTGAATCATTGCAATTTGCAAGGAATTCTGCTCAGGGACCAAACTGTAATTGTATTCACTGGTTAATAATTTTCCAGTTCTCTCTTTCCTAGCTGAATCTCTTAGATTTTTTTCCCCAAGGTGGTGGGAAGATTTATGTAAGTGAGCCCTAGCTCGTTTCTTCATTTTTTGTTTTCGTTTATTGTCTGACTTGGAAGCCAGGTATCTTGGCATTTCCTCCTGATTTTGAAGATACTGAGTGTTTAACTCTTCTTTCTTCAGAGTTTCTGATGTGGTCCCCGGAGCACGATTAGCTTTGGAGACAGCAACATCTACCTCCTGTGGGTTAAACTGAATGGACCCCTTCAAAGAAAAAGGTGAAAAATCTCACGTGAAAAACTGAACAGATTAAAACTGTCAAAGAAAACTGGGCTTTCTGGCATTGTTCTGAAGAGATTTCTAATTATATCTAGGATAGATCCAAATTAGGAACAATATTGCACTGAGGAAATAGGAGGTACAAAATTAAACATCTCAGTTGAATATAAGCTGCTTTTACTAGGCCTGTGCTTATTGCTCCAGGTACTGTGCTAGGGGCTGGGGACATAAAGAAGAGTAAGAAATGCTCTACAGCCCTCCCTGAGGCTAAAATCCTAGAACAAGAAAAGACTGAGTGACATGTGTGCCTAAAAGGGTCAGCCGGCTTTTCAAAAGATAAACTGTGTTTCTGGTTTTCATTCCGGCCTTTTCCTGTGGGCTGCAGGTGAGGGGGTCTCTGAGCTTCCCACCTCGCCTGCCTCGGTCAGAAACAAGACAGCAAGGAGAAAATACAGTTGTGACAGTGGTTCTATCCACAGTGCACTCTGTTCTGCACCACCGCGGGGCAGGTGAAAGGTGCTGCCTACAGGCCCCAGCTTGCTGGGAGAGTTTGTACTGAGCTCCCACTAACACTTGGCACAAATCAGGGCATGGCGCTTACCCGTGACCTGGGATCAGAACCTGCAGACTGTGTAATAGCATAAGGTACTGATGGGGCCAAGAATTAGGTACCACACACACGCACTTAAAAGAGATAAAGTCTTCAAAAGGAGTCACCCTCGGCACTCATTAAGGTAAACTAAAAAAGTTTCAGCTCGCCTTTTTATATATGTAACTATCAGGTTTTTCTGGTCCTGATTTCACAAAGTTTGATTGCTCACACCAATGAGAAAAAAGCTGAGATGGCAAATACACATAAAATTAATTCTCTCTAAAATGAATGCCATTCACTCTTCATATTTAAGAATGCCAAATGTAGATTTTTAAAATCCATTTTACTTATTTATTTTTCATGTTATTTGGCGAGGGAGGTAATTAGGTTTGTTTGTTTGTTTGTCTGTTTGTTTAATGGAAGTACTGGGAATTGAACCCAGGACCTCATGAATGCTAAGCACACACTCTACCACTGAGTTATACCCTCCCTCCTTGAATGTAGATTTTTAAATTAACACTTTGGGAGCCTCTCTGGCCTTTACTCTGGGATATATGCTGAGTCTGGTTATCTTTAGGAGGTCAGTAAGGGGAGAAAAAAAACTCCTCAAACTGAAACTCTCCAAACTAAACAACTAGCCTGTGATTTGAGATATTCCTTGGCAAACAGTTTAAGACTGGACTAACATGAGCTTGCTCCACAAACGTCTCTGCTCAGGGTTCTCCCTTCTCATCTAGACCTGTGGCAGCTGAACAGCCAAATAAAGTTAACGGAGGATGACGAGCCTAACGCCCACACCGTCCACTTCTCCCCCTGGCGTTTTCTGTTACATCCACTAGGAGCTTAGAAAAGGAGAGACATGAGCTCCATCGCCCTGGGTGAAACCATCCTGAAGTTTAGACCCACAAAGTGTGTGTGCCCGATGGCGGGGGTGAGACCCAACTCCTTTAGAGAATTTGGGTACCCCTTCTGTAAATGCACGCTTGGGGTTATCAGAGATCAGCCTATTGAAAATTAGCCCCAATGAATATGGCGAATCTTCCACGAAGTCGATGTTAAATAGGCCACCGGTGAAAAGTAAAGGTTGTGCCTCAGAACCTACCCAAACCGGAGAACAACTGGGAAAGAGCCTTACTGCAATGTTTATCAGGAGCGCCCGCAGCAGGCGGAGGGCCTCCACCCGCCTCTGAGCCAGCAGGTACTTCCTCTCCTCCCAGCGCTCCGAGGAGTCGGGCTCCTGCCCCGCTTGGGCCGGGTCCTTCTGTCTCCTTTGCCGGTGTCGGCCTCTTCTCTTCGGGGCGTGCCTTCTGATCCTGGCCCTTTTCCTCTTTTCCTGGGCTTTCCTCTCCTCTTTTCTCCTTCTGGACAACGATTAAGAGTCAACCATTCAGGAGGTATTTATCAGACATCTGCTCCCCTCCCCGCACCAGGGGTTTCCAGAAATCTCTCACGGCTTTCAACCCCAGGGCCTGACATTAGACAACCAACGAAAAAAGACATTGTGACATCAGTCCAGGGGAAAGATGCATAATTCAATTAGTCAGTTAGAAACATGTACAGGAGACCTTATGCGGAGAGAGAGGATTTGAAAAATAAAAAAGAAGGCTACAGAATTCAAAGGAGGGGCCTCCAGCCCCTACTTTCTCAAACCACAATCAGGGACTACTGGATCCACAGTGATGATTTCACTTCCCTTGAGATCAAAACCTTCCACGAGCTGGTTTCACACAAGCAGATAAAGGTAAGTCAAGGCAGGGCTTATTTTTCTGCTGTTCCCTGAAAATTTAAACTGTGTTGGCTAGGCCCTCATGGAAACATGGGAAAGGAGGGGGAGGACAATTACTTGAGGGAATACTTAGCCAAAAACTGGAGGATGATCTAACCTGCATGTTCAGTCTGTAAATTTGGGGGGAATCGTTATCTCGACTGGGCTCAGCTTCTGGCCAAGTTTCATAGACGTGACCTCAAGTAACTCCTAGCACTCCACCAGCCAGGAGCAGCGAGAGGCCAGTGGAAGGGTACTCTTTAACTCCTTTTTTGAACAGCTATAATTTGCATAAAAGACTGGAAGAATAAACATGCAAGGGAGGAGAACGGAGGTAAAACTGGTTTCAGAGCCCTGTAGTTCTGGCCCATTTGTTCCTTCTGGGCAAACCTCTGGCAATCCAATAGCCCTTTGGAGTCTTAAGCTCCTAAATTGAGAACCAATGATAAACTCAAAAAAGTAAACATGCAGGCTCCTTAAATTCACAGAAAGAACTTAAGACAACAAGAAAAAGTCTTGACGAACCCATGCCTTTTGGCCTCTGGGCTAGTTTGATTATTGATCATTTTACAGAAGAAAATCTTTTCCAAACCTAAAAAGAATTTTTCCAAAAAAATTCCATTGATAGGCAAGATAAAATTTAGTAAAGTTAGGTTAAAGTGGTGAAACTTTTCATTTGGTAGGCTAGAATTTTCACTATAAAAGTTCCTGGTTTTTTTTTTTCAGTTTCTTCCCAGACATCTTTTTTTTTAATATAACATTTTATTTTTATTGATATGGGTCATAAACTCTCAGCAGAAGAATTTTTGGTTTTCTAAATACATAAAATTAGAGTGCCCAATATAATCAATTTCCCTATATCCGTTGTCTTAGTCTGCTTGGGTTGCCATGACAAAATTACATAGACATGATGGCTTAAATAACAGAAATTTATTTTTCACAGTTCTGGAGGCCAGGAAATCTTCCCAGACATCTTAACCTGGCTGGTCCAGTTATTCCCCACTAGTTCTCAGTTGTTTTCTTCATTTTGGTTTTGCAACAGCACAGTGGAAAAGACTTCAGGCTTCCTCAGGGTTTTCTAGTCTGTACCGATTCCTGCTCCCTGCCTGCCTCAGGGTTACCTATCAAGTCTAGCCATTCACTTGAAGGGGAAAATCCATAAATCAAAAGTTAAAAAAAAACCCTCTTTGTTAAAGCTGGTCTCCTCACCTTTCAGCCTCTTCCTCTTCTCTCTTCTTTTCTTTTTTCCTTTCTTCCTCCAGCTCTTGTAATTTTAGCCTTTCTTGATTTCTCCTCCTTATAGCTCCTTCACTGAAGTGTTTGGTTGTGTCAAACATAACCTGCCCCAAACAATTCAAAGTTTCATTAGAAAAGTTTGCCCTCTGGTTGCAGGTGTCCCAGGACAGAGAGATAAAATGAATTTATACATGCAATGCAAAACTAAATGATTTTAAAATGTCCTTCCTGCATCCCAGGACCCAGACTGTTCCGCTGCTTCTCAGGCCCCTGCCAAACAATTTTCTTTGGCAAAATCCTTAAGGAGATCACTTTACAGCCATAGGTGGCATCACGGTGCCATTATGGGCACAGGTTCTAAGGATGTGAGTATATTAGCTCTGGATCGTTATAGTGATTAACTGAGTTGACATATATTTTTTTTAATCACCAGAGACAGAAATAGTCCAAAAATGGGTGGGGGGAGGAGGAGCTAAGATGTAAGAAAAGTGACTGAATGAGATACAAGATCTGACTGACTATAGCCATTAAAGCATGACTTATGATTTAAAGTAAGAAACTTAAAGGGACAGGAGAAAAGCTCATGGACTTCCTCAGTATATGTAAAATTGTCTGTATAGATACTTTTCTGAAGAAGAGGACACAGAACTTTCATTTAATTCACAAAGTGATCTGTAATTTTAAAAAAGGATCTGACTATAGTGATTATTAAACAACTTAGCAAATCTCAAAACAAAGTGAAAGGCAGATTGAGGCAATGCAAATAAATTTGCTTTAAAAATAAAAAGAGGCAGAAGTAGCTATTTAAGTATGCATGAGAGTGCTAAACACCAAATTCAGGGTCATCTTTGAGGGGAGGGAGTGGCCCGTGACTGAGGATGGTACACAGAGGGGAGCGCGCCCTCACATCACTGAAACACTTTACTTTTTAAGCTGGGCAATTCTATATGGGTGGTCATTACAGTATTTGCTATATCTTTTGTCTGACTGAATAGCTCATACTTTTAAAACATACATTTTAACCTAAATAGCTTCACATAACACACACACACACACACACACACACACACACACACACACACACACTCACTCACTCGCCCATACACAGGAAGCTACTGAAGCTGAAAATCCAAACGTACGCTAAAGACTGATTGACAGAAAACAGGTTTAGCTGCATCTTTTCTTCTTCTGGATTAAGGCTTCAGGAAGATGACCAGGCACTCAGACAGTGATGAAGCCACATGCCTGGATAGACAGGCTGACTTTGAAAGGAAAGGAGTCAGCCTTGTTGGGATTATGTTTTAGCAATTTACCCGACAGACATCACAAAAGTAGAGTAAATTGTGACACCAATAGTAAAGAGGGAGTAAACTGCTCTCCTTGTGGTTTCAAGCAGTGTGTTGCCCCCTCCCTCAGCAACTTGTCAACTAGAATAAGCATATGAGATACTCCCATAAGGACCATGGAGATCCTTTAATGCCTTGAGAGGCTAGGGCAGACCATGACAACCCTCACTTTGAAAGCACAAGTTGGCAGCGTGCCTGACTGCAGAACAATGTTCAAATCAGGATGCTACATCTTCCCTGAACATCCACTTAGTAATGACAACACAAACCTTTCCATTAGCTATTGATCAGAGCCTAGTGGGGTCTAAGGAAATGTGTTCCAGATGTTTCCTTCTAGCTGTCACTTGGGACCACCTGAACAATGGGAAGTATTAAAAAAAAAACAAAAAAAAACGCTGGCTACTTCTTACCTTAATGTTACATGCCAGAGCTTTCCCGTCATCTCCTTTAAGCATCAGCTTCATCCCTCGGAGGGACTCCATGGCCTTTACGAAGTCGGTTGACTCCTGGTACTGGATAAAGGCCTCGAATGTCTGTAAGCCAAAGCTAAAACCCCCAAGGCTCCCACCACTCATGACTTCTCGGTAGGGGTCAAGCATCGGGATGTCCACATTCTTGATCTTCCCAAAACTTTCAAAGACCACCCGGAGGATCTCCTCACATGGCTTCTCCCCGCTGGAACCTTTCGGTGCAAACCACTTGCAGGGCAGGCCTTCAAAGTATATAGAGTCTGGGCTCTTCTCGTGGTCCTGCTCTTCAGTCCCATCACCAGATGGGGTCCCCTTTTCCTGGGGGAAGTGTTCCCACTCTCCCTGGGCATCTGTAGCCACTACTCTGAAGTCAGTTTTCAAACCGTTTAGCTTGATGATCTTTCCATGTAACTTGGCCTTCAGGATCTGCACCAAACTTCGCGTTTCAGCCTCCCCCTCAAAGCGGATAAAGTCCTTCGTGCTCTTGGAGAGCCGCACTGTGGTGAACTGGTCAGGACAAATCAGGCTCTTCAGCTGGTCAAGAACCTCCCAGTTAGAGAAGGGCCTCATGGGTTCGGTACTCTCCGGGAGCAAGACATTGATCATCAACTTTGCTATGGGCTTGAGGTAGAGATGCTGAGCTGCACAGAGCTCGGTTGCCTCAGAGTTATCATATACCACCGTGACTGTCATGGTATCCGCAGAAAACCTTAGAGGGCGACAGAGAACGTTTTGATACAAATGGAGCAAAACAGGTTTGGATTTTGAATGGTGCTAGCAATTTGAAGGACTGAAGTCAAACTGATGGGGGACCGTTTACTATCAGGAGGATTAAGACAATAGCTTACATTGGTTTAACGTGTTTTAGAGGTTTCAAAGAGTTTCCATAGACTGTCTCAGTTTCCTTAACTGTAAAATAGAAATAATAGGATTTCAGAGATGAGTAATTGAGCCATGAGCGAGTACCTGTGAAATCCTTAGCATCATACCCAGCACACAGGAAGTTGTCAACCAACATAAGCTAAAACTGTTATTCATACTGCTGCATCTCATTTGATTCATGAAGCAACCTGTGACTAGGTATTTTCATGCCTGTTTTATAGATGGGGAAATTCAGACAGATTCAGGAAAATTAAATGACCTGCCCATACATTGAGACTCCAAGATTCCACATCTCCAATCTATCATACAACTGATCTCAAATGTAAAGTCCCAGAAAAACTTGCCAGGGGTGGCACAGAAAGTGGGCCAGGGTAAAACACACATAGCACATTCAGGAACACGCATCCAACTGATAGTTCTAACCCAGGCACCTGATCTAGCATCCTTCATCTAGGCCGGTTTCCAAGTCTCACGTGGACATATCTACTCTCATTCCTCCAGTCTATCGACTTTCACTAAATTGAACTCTAAGTTCAAGGGAAAAGGAGACAGACTCTCCTAATGAGTGACAAAGTGAATCTGCCCTCTACTTTGGGACTGGAAAAACTCCTAAACGTGAGTGCTGGCATTTCATACGAACGAGCTCACTAAAGCTGTCCCAAGGTAAGCAGGATCACTGATACTAGGAATTAGGGATTTCTGCTCCTGTTTGCTAACTTAAAATAGTACTTTCCAATAAAGCAGGTTTTTATTTTTCAAAAAGTAGATGTATTCAGAGTCTGTATCACCTGAGTTTCTCACTAATGTCAATTTTGAGGCGATTTAGATCCAAACATATATGGCCAGATGATGGAAATTCTAAAACAATCTTTGCTACTAAATCTTGGTTAACTTTATAGGTACATATTTCTTTTATAACCATCCCTGAAGGACAACCCAAGTCAACTCCCTTTAGGAGACAAAGTTCATATAAACTGTTTTTTTTAAGGCCACCAAAAGCAGTATCTAAGGTATTAGATTCTAGAAGTCCTTGTGATAGCAACACTGAACTAGGATGATGTGAGTATAAACATATTCTCTCTCTCCAAAAACATCATCTAAATAGAAAAACGAAGAAAAAAATCCAGTTAGTTAGCTGCAATTTACAACATAAGAGTCAACACTAAACTCCTTTAGGAGAAAAATTAATTTGATATTTAATTAAGATACACTACATCCCCAAATTTATCTGTAGTCAATAGGTATTTATTTATACCACCTAATTTAAAGCAAGGCTTTTTAAAATGCTCCAGAAAAATAACACACAAAAGAGTTAATCACTTCAAAGTAACCGATTTGTCATGCTCTCCATTTATCCCAGTGATACTGCCTTAGTTTTAAACATTTTAGAATGTTTCACTTGGATTGATTTCAAAGTCTGGGCTACATTCTTTTAAATAGCCTTGATGGAGGTCAATTTTGAAATTCTTTTATCATTGATTTGATATTTCAAAATCATCAAAACTTATCTAGAATCAAGAATGCTAAATAAAGTGGATGACTATAAAGAACGAACTGATTTTCTTTATTGGCTTATAACCCCCCTTACAAGCAGATGCTGAGAAAGACACTAATTTTTTTTAAGTAGTGGGTACATCGCTGGAACGTATAGAGTTTTGAAAGATGGCAAGTTTGAAAGATAATATTGACTGCTGCCATGTAACAGTTGCAAAAATGATCCTAATTTTCTACCCCTCCCTCTAACCATGCCCTCTATAATGTGACTTTCAATTGTTGCTATCAAGAAATAGAGTCAATTTTTCCCCAGCCCTTTCAAATGAGCTGGCCTTTTATTTTTTCTAATAGAATGTAGCAGAAGTGACCAAGAGCCAGTTCTAAGACGAGGTGTCATGTGGCTCTACTCTCCCGGAATCCTGCCATACCATGAGGACAGTCCTGGGCTATCCTGCTCGAGGGTGAAATGTCACATGAGGAAAAGCCCACTGGTGAGAGATGAGCCAACCTAGACCAGCCAACCCCTAGCCAACCCACCAGTGGCCAGCTGACATGTAAGCCAACCCTGTCAAGATCAGGGGAACCATTTCAGGTCAGCACAACAGCCCTGAGAACCTATAGACATGTGAAAAATAATAAATGGTTTCCGTTTAAGCCACCAAGTTTGGGGATGGTGTACTATTTAACAACAGCTAACTGATACAAACACCTACATTTTAATTCATTTCAAGATATACAACCCCATTTAATAGTTTTTACACAAATAAATCACAATTACAAAAACCCACGCCTGGGAGAGTTTGGGGAAGAAAAAAAAATTGGCACCTTCATCTGCTGCTAGAGATAGTGAAAATGAATTACATCTTTTTCTAGAATAACTTGGCAAAACAAACCAAGAACCATAAAAATGCTAATCTGCTTTGATCCAGTAAACTGCTCTAGAAACTTGTCCTATGGAAGTCATTAAAAAAACAAAAGAACATGTTTAGGGCTGCTTACTGCAGTGTCATTTTAGATATAATTTTGTCAAAACCATATATACCTAGGAATAAGGTTCAGAAATTGAGTTATGACTTTTTACAAAGTGGTTTTAATAAAACTTTTTGCTGACTTGCCCTGCTAACAGATGCATTTTCCAGTCACTCATTTAAAATTATGATCAGTATAAATGAATTTTATTTCAAACTTCAATTTTTCCTTCTATTCAAGATTAAATTCACAGAGACTAAAAATCAACAACTTTTGTTGATTAAATATGTGCCTCGTATCCTTCATGAGGGTGATTTCTACACAATGAAGTAGCTTCTATATTTTAGCCAGATCTCTCTGCTTCCTTGAAGTGTAACAGTCTCATCAAATTCAGAGATAAATGAATCAGACGCTATTTTACAGTGTTTGATGTACTGCATTTTTGACATTAAAAAAAACCTGGCTATCACTTCCATCTCACATAGAAGCAAAAATAAGCAGTAAATTCTATAGCAGAGGTCACAACTCCAATGACCACAGTGATCAGGAAGATGATCTCAGTGAGCAAAGCACACTGAGCAGAGACTGAGGACCAGGCTCCCTCTGACGGGGCAGCCACGCCTCAGCGCCGCTGCAGTGAGTGCAGGAGGGCCCAGGGTGACTGCATCCTCCTATTCATCCAGAGAGTTCAGAAATCTAGGTCCTTATGTGAAATCTGATTTTCAGAAGTTGGCAAACAATGAAAACAATTTTCAAGCACCACAAAGTGCAAACAAGCACATGTGCAGGCCTTGCTGGCTTGCCTGTCCACAGCCTCTGCTCCAGAGTCTACCTTTGTTCAGCCGCCCCTCCAGTAAGAGGACGCCACACCTCGACTAGGAAGCATTTAAGTTATTTTCTGACTTTCCCAAGAGGACCCGATTGTTTTTCAAACTCAAAAAACTGGGCTCCTGGAAAACGGTATGAATATTCCTTAAAAAACTAAAAATAGAGCTACCATATGATCCAGCAATCCCACTCCTGGGCATACATTCAGAGCAAGCTCTAATTTGAAAAGATACATGCACCCCAATGTTCATAGCAGCACTATTTACAATAGCCAAGACATGGAAACAGCCTAAATGTCCATCAACAGATGACTGGATAAAGAAGCTGTGGTATGTATGTGTGTGTGTGTGTGTGTGTGTGTGTGTGTGTATATATATATATTGTGTGTGTTATATATATATATATATAATACTACTACGACACTAAAGTAAAGATAAGTAAATAAGTCGTACCTTAGTTTCGACGAACGAACCAAACGTAGGTACGGAAC